TGAGAAACAGAGTCAAGTTTCGAGTCTGTTATGACTCTTCCTCAGAACTATTCTTCAGTGACGTATTTTAGTTGTTTTGAACTGCTGTAATTCAGTAACTTATAAATTACAGTATTGACATTACAACAAGTGACAGTTTAGGATATATGCATGATCAGATCTAATCTGGACAAACTATCAATTAACAGGAATGAATATAAAGTTGGACACAGAGGCCTGTTTAAGATTTTCAATTTTTTATTTCTTAATTCATTCATTGGAATTCTTCAATGACTCACCTCATAAAGGTAACATCTGATGTAGACTTGTGCTAAAGACACACAAAGGTTATGGATCAGTGCTGATTTAGCTAATCCCATTGAATAGCATAGGGAGCAGTATATTTGTTATCATCGCCATGAGCTAAGATGGGCAATGATCGATCAGGATTCCACTCTGTGTGTCAGTGTAAATGCAAGGATAGGGTTCAACTCAACTACAGGTGGTCAAATTGCTTGTTGTTAACTGGAGAATGCATATAATTGCTGGGTATGTGATGCTGTACTCCAGTATTGTTCAGCACCTTCAGTAAATAAAAAAGGAAGGGGGGAAAACTGGTGTATTAACGCTAAAAGACAATCTGCTCCGACAGTGCTCGTGAATTAGGAAACCTGCCTCTGGTGGCTAAAACCCCGCACCCTGATATAACCCATGTTATTACTTTCCCTCCTGAAAAGTTTTCTAAGTACTTTATATTGCACCTTTCAAATCCTCTGAATGTCCCAAAATGCTGTACAGTCAATTAACAAAACAATCAATAACACTTAGCCCTGTAAATATTTAGCACTGTAAATGTTTAGCACATGTTCATCCAATTTTTATTTGAAAGACACAATTGAATCTGTTTCCACCACCTTTTTGGGTCATGTATTCCAAATCAAACTACTTGCTACATAAAATATTTTCCTCCAATGCACTGGTTTACTGAGAAACATGGCAGCCAATTTGTATACACCAAGATTCCACAAACAGCTATGAGTTTAATGATCATAAAATCCGTTTTAATGATGTTGGTTGAAGGATAAATATTGACGACTGCACAAGCACAACTTTATCAACAGCTCTTC